CACGGTCTGCTCCTGACCCTTGTATGACGGCAGCCAACAATACAGCACTGTCAACAATAACCAAACCAAAACAGATTGATGTGATTGATCAGTGCAACTGGTAGAAAGGATAACTTTCTATCTGAAAATATACCCGTATGAGGAAAGAAAGTTAGCGAATGTAGTTGGGGTGGGAATATAAGTGTACAAGGGGTGACTGGGGAGTCCTGGTCCAAGACGATAATTTCTATTACTTGATAGACTTTGACCAGTCTACACTTCGCTTCTACACATATTTGACAGAGTGGAGCGTATGTTTAGTACAATCGCAATCTACCCGTAATCTACCGGTCCTGCGGTATCATCTTAGATATTTTATCTTGGAGGGTGGGAGCGGGTTAAGCAAATCTCAGATTTTTCATATCATAAGAATGCTGATCTCGACAAACAATGCTGGTAGGTACCATTTATAACCAGTCCCACGAATTGATCAGGACGATTGGCGACCTTTTTACACTTGTCCCGTAAAAACTGCCCTCAAATAAGCATCATACCACAGATTGCGTACCCGTAAACTTAAATTCCGACTCCCACACCAGAAAAAAAATCCTACTTTCCGCAAATTTGATTCTGGATCTTCCCTTCTATAGAGCTGGTTACCCGTGGTAACAGGCCAGTGGGTTGTTTGGGTACATTAAGCGCAAACACCACTTTGATATTTAAAACGTCCTTCTGAAATTAATCAGGACTGGAGGTCTTGGAGCTCACCCAATGAAATCCAAATGCAAGCTACTAGATTCATTTTGCTCTTCTTCCTGATGAGAAAAAAAAATTATCTCTGCCAGTACAATACCGTAAATGCACGGTTACACATACATACTGTGCATAATCCCAACAGATCTCACTGAACAACATGAAGCATCTGTACATATTGAGTCAGTGGTAAACGGCTAAAAGCTTTTATCACGTTTGTGCGGCGTGTCAATAGTGAGGCGGTAACGAGTGTGATGCAAAGGGTAGAAGCGATCCGGATGAGAGTTTTACATTTGGCTTTGTGGCTGCAGTTAATAAGCTTCAGCCATCTGGAAATTGTAACGTTTGAGACTACCCCGGATATATTTTTTAATCTCATTCCAGGAACATGAACATAAATAAACATAGTTGAGGGCGAGAATTTAAGACGTGAATTGCTTTACATTTCTAGTGTTAAGACCATTTTCAAGCGTTGAATCGTTGTAGATGAGACGGCTCGGTACTGCAACAATAACATTCAAAAATGTGTAAAAGTTTCTAGACTTTCTGTCTTACCTCAAAACCTGCAGGCTCAGCCAGTCGCTCAGACGAAGAAATACCTTTTCGTTGCACGGCGTATTTACATTCTGTGCAGCTACTGAACATGTATTGGTTTTTATCCTGAACACACCCTTAGGGCTATTTACTTAGTCAGTAAATAAATTACAATTGCTTTATTCGAAATAACGGACTTCAATAACTGCAGGTGGTAGCATGCCTTGGGAAGACTGCAGAAAAAACATGCAGCGAAGTCACGGTTTCTATGCAGCCAAACGAAGCATTGTCGTGTAACCCTCTAGGTTGCAGCCTTCATATCTTGGAATCGACTAGTGCAAAAGAATAACAAGCTGTAAACTAAAGGTACAGGAGTCAACTTCCCAAATCAAATGGAAATTTCCAACAGTGTAACCTGTTTTATAGAAGTGTGTGTGACACTTGACTTTTGGATTCTTGCGAAAGATTATTACGTTTTTTAATGAAAGATGTATGCGCGTGTAGCCTTTCCAAATGAAATGAGAATACAACTCTATACGCATGTCATTGACTTCAGTCTTAGCTCCGCTACATCTATCGTTTACAAAATACTTCTAAGTAAGTGTACAATGCAATAGGCCTATACATTATTTTTAAATGACATGCAGTAAAAAGAGGGGAAAAACCACGTATGGTAAGGTTACCACCATAACGAAATGCTAAAGAAACAAGGTACAAAGCTTTTCAGTACCAGTAGGCTGAGATGATCGAATATGCAGACTTTCAAATGATTCTTTGGTGTAAATAATGGCAAATAATGCAGCGAGTTTTACTGACACACAGTTTATCATTTATTTCAATGATGCTTTTAAGGTATACAACGCAAGTCAATGACCGTAGCAATTATATACGTTTTGCGTGGTAAGTAGTATTTATAGCAGGATCGTCAGAAGACTCATTTGAAATTTCTTTTCGATCTGTAAGTGGCATGATACGCCTAGAATTTCATAATTTGGTATGTTTGACATTCACAACATGGCCCTTAATTCAGTCTAAAATGGACCTAACATTTCCATCGAAAAGGAAGTTACTCTTTTTACACTATACAGCAAATCTGTATAGTTTCAACGACAATTTTCAGCCGCAAAAGTGCCCCCAAAAGCGAAAAATTCAATTTGGCACATTTCAGTTTGGAGTTCCCCGACAAATAAATTGAGGTCCTCAACGTTCAATTCATTTTTTTGATGAGACTTAGTTTGAACATGCATAAATTTCATCATAAGATTTTGTTTACATAAATTCCTGCCGTACGTTTTTATTCTTTTCTGTTTTAAGATGATTAGAAACATACACACAACCCCAACCTTCCCCTAAAAAAAGAATGGAAGAAACAACCTATTGAGCGCCTTTTGCCATCAATCATTAATGTTTTATAATATGGGGCACTGCCACTATGAATATATATCATGTCGTCATACCTTGTTTGCACAAAGTCTGTATTTTATTTCCATTTTGTATAAAAAACTCAGTATCTGGGGGAAAACGTGTCGTGTAATTTTTTCAGTGCATACTTGACTCAGCAAACATCACTCAACAAACGGTATCTTTAAGTATTCATCCTGGCCAAAAATGAGGCCTCCGTACCCATTAATTATTGAAATTTGATGGGCTGTCAAAACTATTTTACTGCCAATTTGCCGTATTTGCCGTCACCTTTTACACCTTATGATACAGGCCTACCAGCTTTCGAAATGCTAATAAAACTGAAACTGCAATATTTCTTTTGAATATGTAAAAAAATCATTCCCTTTGGTATTGCCTGCAACACAAACTCCCCCATTTAAAACGACACAGACTTAAATCAAACTCAGACATCCCAAATAAAATAATGATCAACGCTGAAAGTGAACTGAAACACAATTTTGATGTGTTTAATTGTATGCAATGATGTACACATTTCTTTATAAAAAACATTTGAGCACGTTTTCCATGGAGACATTTTAGGTAGTGTCTTGCAAGCACCTGCAGTATCTAAACAGTACTAACCTATCTTGATTGAGGCGTTGTGAGGATTCTTTTACGGATGGAAAGAAAAGCAAAAATTCTAAATTGTTTCATGGATACAAGACCCGATCGACATTTCACTAGCTCCACTTGTGTGTGTGCATTAAAATTGTTGAAATTGTGAAATAATTAGCACAAGTTTCGAGTTTAACCTTTCTCTTCCTTAATTGGTACGTTCTTTCTTGAAGCTTGAAGTACATATGTTTTCTAGTCGGTAGGTCTATTCTGTGACCGATTTCAGTTTACACCACTCCCCAAAGCTCTTACAATTATTGAAAGCCAGTGAATACTTGTAAGTCTCATCCCCAATCTTTGATCTAGCTCTCTTTATGACTTCATCAGGTGGGTAGCAATCATTTTTGTCGTAAACAAGCCTGTACACGGGAGGTCTGAATTCAACTGATTCCTCCCCAACACCATTTTGGTAGGTGTTATGTACCACTCTGACTATACCCTTACCCTTGTCACACTCAACGACTATAGCGTGGTGTCTGGGATGCAGCAGGTTGCCATAGAAGACAACCTGATCACCCGAGTTGAGGTCTTCAATGCTTTTGACTGGCCTGTCATTTGTGCCAATACTGGTGGCCAGCGCACGAGCCATCGGCGATCCCAAATAAACCCCAATGTACCTCCTAGAAGTTGATCCAAAAAGCCCACCAAAAAAACTACCAAAGTAGGACTTGGAGCTTGCATCCGTAGCATTACAATCGACTCCCCTGCTCCCCTGAGGTCCACTTACTTTTTCAGGAACGTCTCCCCCTTCTGCAAGCCCAGCGGCTGCGAGAGCTTCACCAACTCGCAAGAATGCGCTCGTAATAAAATTTTGCTGTGACATTTTACCCTCCTTCACTACTCCGTAAATCTTCCTAAGATCAAAAACACAGGCGCAGCTCTCGAAGAAAACAAGAACACCCACCCCTACGGCAGTGGTACCATTCACAAGCCTCTCAAACTTCTCAGCGGCACACACTTTCATAGAGGCCGCTGCCTGTGCACGCTCAAGAAATACTTTGGCACCTTCTTTTGCATATTCTTTGGCTGCAATGACGCCAGCGTAGGTATAGCCATTGCCCACATTATGCAGCGCTTCGTTCACGACTGACTTTACTTTTTCATACAGCCAAACAACCTGATAACTCTCTGCAAGCCCAGTCTTACAATATGATGGAAACGCTTCGCAGGCACCGGAGAAAATTCCATAACCAGTGTCATCTAATCGAGATCTAGCGCGGGCAATTACAAGCTCTGGAGGGTTAATCTTTCTTATCTCGCTCGGATAATCAACACGGAACAATTCACCTTGTTCCTTACTCAGCTTCAGCGCATTTTCTGTGATCCGCATCATGGCACAGCCCACCTTACTCCAATGAATGACTTTAACTATATCTCCTTTAGGATCAATTTCTGACACGACTGCATGATGCCAGTAGCCCCAATAGTGGCGCCACGCAATGTGATCCCCTACCTTTAGGTTATAACCGTCAGTACTAAACTGGTCGATTTTCTTGCGACTGCAGTTTATCAAGAAGGCGAGATTAATCTGCATGGGTACTTGGAGCTGTTTTTTGAGGACGACCCCACAGACTTTCACTGAAGGGGGGAATTTATCGGTGTCTGGATGGAACAGGA